AGTAGCGTATGGTGTAGTGTATAGTGTAGTGTATAGTAGCGTATAGTGTAGTGTTTATAGTGTAGTGTATAGTAGTGTATAGTGTAGTGTTTATAGTGTAGTGTATAGTGTAATGTGTAGTAGTGTACAGTGAAGTGTATAGTGTAGTGTATAGTAGTGTATAGTGTAGTGTATAGTGTAGTGTATAGTGTAGTGTATAGTGTAGTGTATAGTGAAGTGTATAGTGTAGTGTATAGTGTAGTGTATAGTGTAGTGTATAGTGAAGTGTATAGTGTAGTGTATAGTGAAGTGTATAGTGTAGTGTATAGTAGCGTATGGTGTAGTGTATAGTGTAGTGTATAGTGTAATGTATAGTAGCGTATAGTGTAGTGTATAGTGTATAGCAGTGTATAGTGTAGTGTATAGTAGTGTATAGTGTAGTGTATAATAGTGTATAGTGTAGTGTATAGTGAAGTGTATAGTGTAGTGTATAGTAGTGTATAGTAGTGTATAGTGTAGTGTATAGTGTAGTGTATAGTGTAGTGTATAGTGTAGTGTATAGTGAAGTGTATAGTGTAGTGTATAGTGTATAGCAGTGTATAGTGTAGTGTATAGTAGTGTAGTGTATAGCAGTGTATAGTGTAGTGTATAGTAGTGTAGTGCATAGTAGTGTATAGTGTAGTGTATAGTGAAGTGTATAGTGAAGTGTATAGTGTAGTGTATAGTGTAGTGTATAGTGAAGTGTATAGTGTAGTGTTTATAGTGTAGTGTATAGTGTAGTGTATAGTGAAGTGTATAGTGTAGTGTTTATTGTAGTGTATAGCAGTGTATAGTGTAGTGTATAGTAGTGTAGTGTATAGCAGTGTATAGTGTAGTGTATAGTAGTGTAGTGTATAGTAGTGTATAGTGTAGTGTATAGTGAAGTGTATAGTGTAGTGTATAGTGTAGTGTATAGTGAAGTGTATAGTGTAGTGTTTATAGTGTAGTGTATAGTGTAGTGTATAGTGAAGTGTATAGTGTAGTGTATAGTGTAGTGTATAGTGTAGTGTATAGTGTATAGTGTAGTGTATAGTGAAGTGTATAGTGTAGTGTATAGTAGTGCATAGTATAGTGTAGTGTATAGTGTAGTGTCTAGTGTAGTGTCTAGTGTAGTGTATAGTGAAGTGTATAGTGTAGTGTATAGTAGTGTATAGTGTAGTGTACAGTGTAGTGTATAGTAGTGTAGTGTATAGTGTAGTGTATAGTGTAGTGTATAGTGTAGTGTATAGTGTAGTGTATAGTGTAGTGTATAGTGTAGTGTTTATAGTGTAGTGTATAGTGTAGTGTATATAGCATCTGACTGCACAATGCAATGACTTATTTTTGCCCATGGTCCAACCAAAGGCCGCTGCCAAGATGATCAAACTCATGTGGCCGTATACAACGTACACCACAATGTGCGACAATTCGGGCAAGGGCCCTTCTCCATGAGCAAACAACATCTTGAGGAAGCGGAATTTTCCGAAACGTCGCCAAATTATATATATATCGCTCGTCTCACACGCCCACATTCTTATCTTCTTGGCGTTGCATCATGCCACTTGTGTGAGTTGGGTCTCCGCAGCCGTGCCTGTGGCCCGCCTACGAAGCATGGGCGGTGTGTGCCTCCTCTAGGTTGACTGAGCCTAAAATTTACCTACCGACCGCAGTATGGTGTAGTGTATGTGTAGTGTATAGCGTAGTGTATAGTGTAGTGTATAGTGTAGTGTATAGTGTAGTGTATAGTGTAGTGTATAGTGTAGTGTATAGTGTAGTGTATAGTGTAGTGTATAGCGTAATTGATAGCGTAGTGTATAGTGTAGTGTATAGTGTAGTGTGTAGTAGTGTAGTATATAGTGTAGTGTATAGTGTATAGTAGTGTATAGTGTAGTGTATAGTGTAGTGTAGTGCATAGTGTAGTGTATAGTGTAGTGCATAGTGTAGTGTACGGTAGTATAGTGTAGTGTATAGTGTAGTGTATAGTGTAGTGTAATGCATAGTGTAGTGTATGTGTGTGTGTATTATGTTGAACTTCTTTTGCACCATACCTAAACTAAACACAACAACAAGCAGTTCTAAAGAAATTCGTTTTCAATTTAGTATGGTAGTGTAGTGTATAGGAGTGTAGTGTTTCGCGTAAAGTAGTGTATAGTGTAGCGTAGCGTATAGTGTATAATAGTGTAGTGTGTAGCGTATAGTAGCGTATAGTGTAGTATCTAGCATAGCGTTTAGTGTAGTATTAAGTCTGTATTGTCGTGTATATTTTAGTGTATAGTGTAATGTGGTTTGCGGGTCTCTCTCTCTCTCTCATCATCATCATCACGGTGGCTAGGAGATGTTAACTACTTCGCCTGCTGTGCAGGAGGTCGTGGGTTCGATCCCTACCCTGACGACGCCTGCTGCGGTAGATTTGGAGTTTGCGTTTCTCTCTCTCTCATCATCATCATCATCACGGTGGCTATGAGATGTTAACTACCTCGCCTGGTGTGCTGGAGGTCGTGGGTTCGATCCCTACCCTGACGACGCCTGCTGCTGTAGATTTGGAGCCTGCGTGTCTCTCTCCCCGCGGTGGCGTGAGTTTTTCTCCGGGGGAGAGAGACACGCATGCTCCAATCCGATCGAAATTAGGGATTTCGATCGGATCATCGGGGGGGGGGCACGTGCCACTCCACTCCCCATAGCAGCTCAGTGGGCCTTACCTAGCTCAAATAAAACATAGTTTAGTTTCAGCTTAAGCAGGAATCGAACTCAGGTCGCCAGGCTCGTAACTCCGTGCCGTGGACATGGTGAGGAATGTTGAGCAGAAGCGGCTTGGCTGATGTAATGAGTCACAGATGCGTCAGCGATGCAAATAAAGATAACAGATCACGTACTCAGATTGTGAATGTTGTGGATTAGCGCTCCAACACACAACACTAGTAACGAATTCCCACGTTCTGTTTGACGGGATAAACCCCCTTACTAATTGGCTGTGTCGGGTGGTGGCGGGTTTAACGACACATTTCTATTTTCACGTGATCTAACCCCCCAAAAAACTGTATTATGAAAGATAACAAAGAGGAAGATCCCCCGTGTAGCCTTAAAACGACTCTTTGGGCAAGTTGCTGTTAGCGAGTAGCGCCTATGAAGGAGGTCACGGGACAGACCCAGCCAGCAGCCCAAATTGCCATGGGTTGGCTGACTGAGATGACCGTCAGATGCACCACCACCAGCTGTACCTCCCTGCTGTGCCAGGCTAGGTGCAGGAGGTCACGGGACTGACCCAGCAGGTGCCGTGGGTTGGCCGACTGAGATGACCGTCAGATGCACCACCACCACCAGCTGTACCCCCCTGCTGTGCCAGGCTAGGTGCAAGAGGTCACGGGACAGACCCAGCAGGTGCCGTGGGTTGGCTGACTGAGATGACCGGCAGATGCACCACCACCAGCTGTACCCCCCTGCTGTGCCAGGCTAGGTGCAGGAGGTCACGGGACAGACCCAGCAGGTGCCGTGGGTTGGCTGACTGAGATGACCGTCAGATGCACCACCACCAGATGTACCCCCCTGCTGTGCCAGGCTAGGTGCAGGAGGTCACGGGACAGACCCAGCAGGTGCCGTGGGTTGGCTGACTGAGATGACCGTCAGATGCACCACCACCAGCTGTACCCCCCTGCTGTGCCAGGCTAGGTGCAGGAGGTCACGGGACAGACCCAGCAGGTGCAGTGGGTTGGCTGACTAAGATGACCGTCAGATGCACCACCACCAGCTGTACCCCCCTGCTGTGCCAGGCTAGGTGCAGGAGGTCACGGGACAGACCCAGCAGGTGCCGTGGGTTGGCTGACTGAAATGACCGGCAGATGCACCACCACCACCACCAGCTGTGCGTCCTACTATGCCAACTTTGTTACGTTTTATCCGCCCGGCGCTCCACTCGTTGTTGTGAGCGTCGCTCCTCTGCCCTCCGTTGTTGCTGGCTGCAGGGCGACTGCCTCCAACTTCCCACCTAGCAGCAGCAGCAGCGTCCTTCACGAGCCTCATCCGTAGAAGACAACAACCACAAAAAGACAAAGATCCCCCGTATATTCTAGATTTTAAGTTTCGTGACTGCAAGGATCCATACTCTTTGGTTCTTTCGGTAAAGTCACGTAGGTAAAAAAATAAGATAAAATACAAAAAATAAAAGTAAATTAAATCACGACGTTTCGATTGCAACACAAGCAATCATCATCAGGCGTGACAACCACAGCAAGGAAATTTGTACTAAAGTGAGAGAGATGCCGGAGTTAGGGAGGTTTAATAAGTCAACAATTTTCTTGCTGTGGTTGTCACACCTGATGATGATTGCTTGTGTTGCAATAGAAACGTCGTGATGTAATTTATTATTTTATTTAAGTTTTTCACCTACGTGACTTTACCGAAATAACCAAAGAATATCCCCCGTGTAGCCTTACCAGTTTGTCGGGGCAAGTGCTGTTAGCTGTTGAGCAGCACCTCTGAAGGCCGGCACGGCACACGAGGTGGTGGGTGGCCAGCACCACGCCCGGCCGCCTTTGCCTCCCCCCAATGGGCGATGTTTAACTTCACACGGCACCCAGGGTGCTCATTGTGAGGCTGAGTCGACCTGGGGAGGAGACCCAGGGACCGGTTTCAGATCATCGTCACCGGTGGTGGTGGTGGTGGCCGTGAGCGGGAATCGAACTCATGTCGCTGTGTGTGCATACACAGCGGTGGTGTCGTAGTGCGCCACGAACCTGGCCACCCGGGTTCGATTCCCTGCTCACGGCCAACACCCGGTGACGATTATGCGAAGCGGTTCTGGGCCTCCCCAAGGTCGACTCAGCCTCAAATGAGTACCTGGTGTAGCGGTGTGTAGTAAACATCGCCGCTGGGGAGACAAAGGCGGCCGGGCGTGGTGCTGGCCACCCACCCCCTCGTGTGCCGTGCCGGCCTTCATAGCTGCTGCTGCTGCTCGCTAACAGCACTTGCCCCAACAGTCTGTTACAGGCTACACGGGGGAGCTTTGTCTTTATATATTTGACCGCTGGGTTCTGGGACGCGAACGAAGCATGCTGCCCGGCTGGAGAGTCCGGTTTTTTCCCCACAAATATATATTTATTTTGTTAAAGTGCTGATCGCTTACAAAGTACAGTTCCTGGAACAATGATTTTGCTTGACCCAGTCGGACGAGCAGCAGTCACCCGCCGTTTGATTTCAAGTTTGTTTATTGTTGTTTTTTTAACACGCGCGTGATTATCAATCCTCTCAAATTGAAACCTCCTCGGTTTCATCGCCTCTACCTCGGATTCTTCTCGCCTCTAATAGCGAAAGGGTTGGTCGAGGGTCGGGGGAGGTCGTGAGGTCGACGGAGCAAAGCGACTCCTCGTGACCCCGATCATGGCCGAGTCCTCCGTCGACCAGAAGCTCCGCTGCGCCGTGTGCCTCGACACATTCCGCGAGCCGGCGAGCCTCGACTGCGGCCACACCTACTGCAAAGCGTGCATCGAGAGCCACTGGCGAGCACAGTCCGAGGGCCGTGGCTACACGTGCCCTCTCTGCTGCAAGGTCTACTACACGATGCCCACGCTGAGTAGGAACATCGTCATCGCCGACGTCTTGGAGCAGCTGGCCGAGGGCGACGGCGGTGGCGGCGCCGAGTCGAGAGAGGGTGCGACCGGGACGTGCCCTCGCCACGGACAGACGCTGGGTCTCTACTGCAGGACGGACGGGCGGTTGATCTGCGTCGACTGCACGAGCGCGCACAGCAGGCACGACATCGCGCCCGCAAGAGACGAGCGCCGCGCGAAGGGCGTGAGTTTGCAACTTGCATTGAACGACGACGATAAGCGAGTGAGGGAACGCGAAAAAAAATAAAAAATAAACACATTTTTTTTTCATTTAGAGGGCGCTTCAAAACGAAGTGTGAACACTTCTATGGGGCTGTCGTTTTTTTTTGTTAATGGGGAAAAGAAGCGAAAAAATGTGTTAATAATGTCTCGTGTCAATAATGTATAGCGTCAATAATGTAGCCTTAATAACGTAGTGTTAATAATATATAGTGTTGATAATGTGTAGTGTTAATAATATATAGTGTTGATAATGTGTAGTGCGTCCAATTGAGTCGCACACGATGTTGTCTTCGGAGCAACACAATTTATTACATCAACTCAACGCAACATAACGTGACCTGACTTGATTTGAAGCTTTCGTGACTGCAGGAATTACTCCTTGGTGTTTTGTCAGTAAAGTCACGTATAAATACGAAATAATAAAATAACAATAGCGTACGACGTTTCGGTTGCAACACAAGCAGCCATCATCAGGTACAGAAGAGCTAAATTTACGAGAGAGGGGAAACATAACCTCAGATGTATATACAGACACCCAAGTAGGGGAGAACTAACACAGATACAACAGGGGACACAGAGAGAGAAGCATACCAAACAGACAGGTTTTAGCAAAAATTGGAAACCATATAAAGCAACACGGACGGTCGGTAAAAACACAATTAACGCATAGCCCGGTTGATCACGCTATTTCAAAGATTGCTAAATTGCAAGTTAAGTATGAAACTCAAAATAGAGACCGCACACACACACAGACATCCAAGTAGAGCGGACCAGCACAGAGACAAGCACACAGTGAAGTCGCCTTAAATAGGCAGAGTAGGTAAGGCTGAGAGACAAAGGGACAAAATTAGCATGAGGTATGCATGGAGCAAAGTGGGGCGCGGCAGCAAACACTCGGAAGCAACAAGGCCCACACACAGGCAGAGACAGCACAGAGACACAAATCCAAGCCAAGACACAAAGGCAGATGCACAAGCAGAGACAACACAAAGACACAGACCTCATATCTCCCCGTAGAGGTGGTTCAGACTTGATTTGAAGCTTTCGTGACTGCAGGAATTACTCTTTGGTTTTTTGCTAAACCCTGTCTGTTTGGTATGCTTCTTTCTCTGTGTCCCCTGTTGTGTCTGTGTTAGTTCCCCCTACTTGGGTGTCTGTGTATACATCTGGGGTTATGCGTTTCCCCTCTCTCGTAAATTTAGCTCTTCTGTACCTGATGATGGCTGCTTGTGTTGCAACCGAAACGTCGTACGCTGTTATGTAATTTTATTATTTCTTATTTATACGTGACTTTACCAAAAACAAAAACCAAAGAATAACGTAACCTACACTGGGTTGTTGAACGCCCATCTAGCCACGCTACGGCAGAACTGGACACGGTCCCCGCTGTCCCGGTCCGCACCACGAGCTGGGTCCCGGACCGCGTGGCTAGAGGCTTCTTCAACCCGACGTGGATCTTCACTCGCCAACAGTCAAGAACCCAGAGCCCCACACGGGGGCCCCCGTTAGATCGGCCCGGGCTGGGGCTGGCTCCGCCCCTCGCCCCGCCCACCTTCTAGATCTCTCTCGAGCTCTTTCCCGAAGGGCTCCCGAGAGCTCCTCTATGCCAAGTGACCGCCCAGCGGCCACCCGTCCACCGGTGGCCCCCCTCCAATATTATCCGGTCACGTGTCGGCAGGTCAACCGGCGTACCGTGTCCCAACGTAACCCTGGCTGGCCGACGCTCTCTCTCGCTCCCTCACCGAGCGCCCGCACCGCACACTGTGCGTGGTGTTTCCGCGCTGACCAGCGCTCACCCAAGCCCCGCTAGGGCCGGTACTACGCCCCGTAACCGGGCTGCCCGTAATGACAACCCAACATCCACCATGGCCTCGCAAGGCCGGCACCACACAGTGACATTCACAGCCACTACAAATGTATAGTGTTAATAATATATAGCGTGTTCATAATATATAGTGTTAATCATATATAGTGTTAATAATGTATTGTGTTAATTATATATAGTCTCAATAATGTAGTGTTAATAATATATAGTGTTATTCATATATGGTGTGTTAATAATATAGTGTTATTCATATATAGTCTCAATAATGCAGTGTTAATAATATATAGTGTGTTAATAATATATAGTGTTATTCATATAAAGTCTCAATAATGTAGTGTTAATAATATATAGTGTTAATAATATATAGTGTGTTAATAATGTATAGTATTAATAATATATGGTGTTAATAATATCTAGTGTTAAACATATATAGTGTTAATAATATATAGTGTGTTAATAATATAATGTGTTAATCATATATAGTCTCTATAATGTAGTGTTAATAATATATAGTGTTATTAATATATAGTGTTAATAATGTATAGTGTTAATAATATATAGTCTCAATAATGTAGTGTTAATAATATATAGTGTTAATAATGTATAGTGTTAATAATATATGGTGTTTATAATATATAGTATTAAACATATATAGTGTTAATCATATATAGTTTCAATAATGTAGTGTTAATAATGTAGTGTTAATAATATATAGTGTTAATAATGTATATTGTTAGTAATATATACTGTTAATAATATAGTGTTAATAATATCTATTGTTAATAATATATAGTGTTAATAATATATAATTTTAATGATATACAGGGTGCTTTTAAAATATATTAACACTTAAATGGATGCTAAACGTACTGTACACACAGAGACCCACAGACACCCAGACCCACAGAGACCCACAGATTAGCACGAAAGAAGTTCAACGTAGACATACAAAGAGCCACAGACACCCAGACCCATAGACACGCACAGAGACATCCATAGACACCCACTTAGATGCACAGATTATCACGACTGGCTACGCACGGTGCGAAAGACGTTCAACGTACATATGTACAGACATACACAGAGACCCACAGACACCCAGATCCATAGAGACACCCACAGCCGCCCACAGAGACTGGCTTCGTGCAGGCACACAGCGGCACGAGCGGACGCGGTTCAAATGCACGATGCCCAAGCTCGCGACAAGCGGCAATGCTGACGGTGAACGCGACCGCGCTTCCGCAGAGCCAACTGATCGCGCTCAAGGAGGCACTGGGCGGGAAGGACGTGGCGATAACCGCCGGCATCGCTGATCTCGAGCAGACGACCCGCCTGATGGAGGTGAGCACCTCGCTTTGGCCGGTCTCGTCAGCTAGTGCGGATTTTTGGCCAAGCAGTCACCGGCATCACGCGGCGCTTTCAGATGCTATTTACACTACACTATACACTACACTACTATACACTACTTCACACTGCTATACACTCAACTATACTACACTCATATACACTACACTATACTACACTGTACACGACATTATACACTACACTATACACTACACTACACACTACGCTATACACTACGCTACACTATGCTACACAATACACTACGCTACACTATACACAACCATTACACTATACACTACACTATACACTACACTACACACTACGCTATACACTACACTATACACTACTATACGCTATACTATACACTACACACTACGCTACACTATACACTACATACTACAATTACACTACACTACACTATACACTACACTACACTATACACTACGCTACACTATACACTAAACTATACACTATACACTACACAATACACTACATACTACACTATACACTACGCTACAATATGCACTACATACTACACTATACACTACATACTACACTATACACTACACACTACACTATACACTACGCTACACTATACACTGCACACTACACTATACACTACGCTACACACTACATGAGTGAGCCACTTGGGACTATAACGTCGCAATCGTTTTGTTACAATTCAAAAACAAACAACAAACAAAAAGGCTCAGCTTCGCACATTCCCTTTGCCGGCCCCAGGATGGAGCGGCGGGCACCAAGTCGAGACTGAGTGGCCGATATGAAGAGCTCCTCGATCTCATCGCGGGGGACCGGGAGTCGGCGTTGGCGGCCGTGGACGACGAGCTCGCCTCGAGGCTGGTGGGGGTTTGCCGCGAGATTGAGAGGCGACGGGCAGCTCAGCTCGAGCTCCGCGAGGCGCTCGGGAAAATCCAAAGCCTGGAGGTCACCGAGGATCCCGTGGATTTTCTTCAGGTAGCACGTGGCCGTGCACGTGCGTGCATGCGTGTCTGTGTGTGTGTGTGTGTGTTTGATCTGCCCACTGACCATCGACTAGTCATCTGTAAGATGCGCCTGCCATACTTCCACTCCGGTGGTGGGTGTACACCCAGGACCCCATTCAAACCCATAGTGGCCTGGTCTCAGATAGCTGATGAAAGTTGCAAGCGAGAATTTCATCATCGCTTGCGGCTGGGGTTGGCATCGCCCCCCACTCCTCCTGTTGTTGAGGGGAAATGGGCGAGGTTTAGGACCGTGCCTCATGCAGCTGCAATGGCTGCTTTGGGTACACAGTCCAGACCTCCCCAGAGACCCTGATTGAAAGAGGAGGTGTTCAGGCTGTCTGATAAAAGCGACAGGCCCACCATAATCGTCTACAGCATCCCACGTCAGAGAATGAGGAGGCTTACCGCAGCTTTCGCTTGGAGGTTCGGAGAGCTGTGAGGTGCTGCAAGGATGGGTGGTGGTCGCGGGTTTCTGAGGAGATGGAGTCTGCCTCAGTGGCCCGCGATCACACATCTCTATTTAACTCCATCAAAAAAGTAATTTGCAGCGCCACACCTATTACCATCCTTAGGGGAAAGAACGGTGATCCAATTTCAGTCCCCCAGGAACAGGTTTGCAGATTTGCTGAGCATTTCTGTAAGGTTCTGGGGGAAGGGAAATCCCTCAGCCAGGAAAACATCGTGGCCCAAAGTGGGGATGACCCTGCTGAGGCTGCGGTGCCTCAAATATTGGAAGAAGTCACCCCCTTTGAGTGGCTGGCTGAGGTGCCATCAGTTGAGGAAGTACTGAAGGTGCTGCAGAGTCTGAGACCAGGAAAGGCACCGGACAGAGATGATCTCCCAAGCAAAATGCTGAGGGAAGGTGGCGTTTGTGCACAGACTGCTCTACATGACATCATGACAACAGTTTGGACCACTGGACGGGTTCCGCAGGACTGAAAGAATGCCCTGGTGGTCCCCCTCTTTAAGAAGGGGGACCGCACAGACTATAACAACTACAGGAGCATCTCACTCCTCAGTGTGCCTGGAAAAGTCCTGGCAAGGATTATTTAACATCGCCTTGCCAGGCACGCAGAGGAGAGGCTTGCGGAGCCCCAATGTGGTTTCAGGGTTTCAGGAAAGGGCGGTCCTGCACGGATGCCATATTTTCTGTCCGTCTGCTACAGCACAGGTGTAGGGAATTCCAACAAGACCTACATCTCTGCGTTATTTACCTGGTCAAGGCTTATGATACCAGGCTGGATTGTGTGAGGAGCTCACAAATCCTTGAAAGATCTGGACAAAGTCTCATTGGTGAGCTCCTCCAGCAGGCAAGGCTGCGTTGACTAGGTCGTGAAGGCTGCTACTGGGCAGTTGGAGGTAGCTGCCCTTCAGCAACAACGGTGGGCAGAGGAGCGACGCTCACAACAACGAGCGGAGTGCCGGGTGGCTATAACACAGCAGGTTGGCACAGTAGGGGCACAGGTGGTGCATCAGCCAGTCATCTCGGTCATCTAAGTCAGTCGTCCCGTGGCACCTGGGTATCCCCTGTGACCTCCTGCCAGCGGGCGTTCAACACTTCACGTGCCCTCAATGTGCACCAAGCTTGGCACAAGCGCCGTGGTGACGTCACCACCCCTTTGTGGCGAATGGTGGTTGCTGTTGTTGTGTGTGTCTGTGTGTGTTTGTGTCTGTGGGTATGTCTGCGTGTCTGGGAGCGGTAGTGTAGTGGTTAGCGCTTTGCGCTATTAACCTGGCGACCCGGGTTCGATTCCCGCTCACGGCCAACACCAGTGACGATTATCTGAATTGGTCCTGGGCCTCCTCTAGATCGACTCAAATGAATACCTGGTGCAGTGTGTAAACATCACCTCTGGGGAGACAAAGGCGGTCGGGCGTGATGCTGGCCTACCCACTCCCTCGTGTGCCGTGTCGGCCTTCATAGGTGCCGCCACTCGCTAACAGTCTTGGCCCAAACAGTCTGTGAATGTGTGGCTGCATGAGTCAACAACTGGATAATCTTCTTTGGTTCTTTCGGTAAAGTCACGTAGAATGATGATAAAATAATAAATTGATAAAATAAAATAACACAATAATATTCTCACGACGTTTCGGCCACAACACAAGCGGCCTTCATCAGGTGAAGGGGGCGAGACTGTCTGGTAGGACAGCGCTGGAGTGAAAGAGCCACGTTCAGATACGGCCTTTAAGCTGTGTGAGAGGAACAAAGCGCCTTGACAAAGGAATTAGCATATCATTTAACATTGAAATGGCTGAATGATTAGCTTGTGACTGGTCACAGAAATAGCTATGTTAAAAGTTAAAGCATACAAACCCGCAGTGGTGGCAACTCCACTGTGATGCAAACTACCCGCACTCCATGCTAATTGCTGTGTGTGTGCGTGTTCGTGTGCCTGTGTGTGTGTGTGTTCGTGTGCCTGTGTGTGTGTGTGTGCATTCACCCTGTTTCCATTCCAGAGGTTCGCCCAAGACTCCGAGAGGTAAGGTCATGGGCATGGAGATGTATGAACCCGTGCCATTCATACACCACCAGCTGCTGATCTGTAGGCCCTGGGGCAGAGGGAATTGATCGGTCTCATTTCACAAAATCGTTTAGTTTAAACCGGGGGAGTTTCCCAAGCTCCAGTCCGAATGACCAGTGACGGATAAAGCTAGTGCAGGGCCTGTAGCATATGTTATAAAATTAAAAAACATACATATTAAAACACATTTTTTACGTGCATAGTAAAGTACTGTAATTGTATTTTTCCATTTGCTATACAGCCAGATAATACGACACATCGCTAACCTTAAACACCCAGGTATTCATACAGAGTTGAAGGTGGTATAGTACTATAGTAATAGAGCAAGTGCAGAATCACTGAACCGGAATTGATAGTATCTTGATTTTAAGCTTTCATGACTACAGGAATCCATACTCTTTGGTTCTTTCGGTAAAGTCACGTAGGTATAAATAATATATATATAAATCACGACGTTTCGATCGCAACACAAGCGGTCGTCCTCAGGCGGAAAAAAATAATCCAGCAGTGGAACTGCTGAACCAGGAAGAAAACAGCGAGAGAGCCGTTACAGCAAGGAGGTTATATACGTGGCGATGGGCAAGCAAGCGGGGTCTGAGCTGGAAAGGAATTCTATCCCCGCACGCAAGCACGTCAGTTGTGTTAATGGGGGAGATTAGGCAGAGAGAGAGAGAGATTAGGATAGAGATTAGCATGACGGAACCTCATTTCATGCTAATCTCTCTCCCTAATCTCTCTCTCCCTAAATTTGTTTACGATGTGAAATTGGTACTGCACCGTTACTTAATATTCCAATCTCGAAGACTCTGGATTACTGGGTGATGTACGTAGCACTACTATGCCACTTGTGATGTGTTTGATGATCGCCGGACTGGGTCACGGCATTTGGAGCGGTTTTCGCCGGATCGGCCCGGCACCGCCGGATAATGTTGGAAGCAGCCGGATAATCGATGGTCAGCTGTACTGGCAAAAGCAAAAAGCTGATGAAAAAAAAGTCCCCCTCCACGAGATGCGTCGTACATTCAAACCAATCCCGCGGTTCTTTCCCCTGTCGGGGGAAATCGACGCGTCGACGCGCCCTTTTCGCGTGCCGTGTATTTCCCGCAAGGTTCGCCGCCCTGGCGAACGCGCCGGCGGAGCCCTCCCCTGCGCCGAGGACGCAGTTTTCCACGGCGGTTCCTCTGGAGACAAGGCTCGGCGAGCTGCTGGATGTCTACAGGGGCCCCGCGAAGCCGGCGCCTTCCCCGCCGCCGCCTTCCCCGCTGCCGCCAACGCCGCCGCCGCCGCCACCGACGCCGCCGCCGCCGTCCCGAAAGATCGTCGCAGGCGATGACGGAGACCGGCCGAGCATCCCGCCGCGAGTTCCGCTCAAGCGGACCGATCTGAGCGAGGCCCAGAACAGCACCACGTTGCCGCCGCACAGAGGGCCGAAGGGTCCCCACGTGGCAGCAGGGTCCAGGGTCAGCGCGAATGGACCGCCGGACGTCACGCTGGACGGCTTCAACAGGGCTCAACTGATTAAGCGATGTAAGTCATCTCTCGACCCATGGCACCTGCTGGGTCTGCCCCCGTGACCTCCTGCCGGCGGGCGTTCGACACTTCACGTGGCCTTAACGTGCGCATAGCCTGGCACAAACGCCTCGGTGACGTCACCACCACTTAGCGGCGAATGGCGGTTGTTATTATATGTACATAAGTGAGCTCCTCCGACAGGCGAGGCTGCGTTGGCTGGGTCATGCCTAGCCACCGCATGCCCAAGCAGCTTCTGTTTGGCCGCATAGAGGGAGCTAAATGGGCACGACACGGGCTGGAGAAGAGATGGACTGACGCGGTACGCGAGGATGTGAAACTGAGTAGACTTGCCAACGACTGGTACAAGCGGTGTAAAGGTCGGCCTTTACAACGAGCGGAGCGCTGGGCGGCTAAAGTACAGCAAGTTGGCACAGTAGCGAGAACAGCTGGTGGTGCATCTACCGGTCATCTCAGCCAGCCAACCCATGGCACCTGCTGGGTCTGTCCCGTGGCCTGTCAGCGAGCCTTCGACACTTCACGTGGCCTCAAAGTGCACCTAGCCTGGCACAGGAGCCAGTGGTGACTTCACCGTCACTTAGTGGCGAATGGCGAGTATCGGTATTGGTATCTAAAGTGTTACCTTGATATTCGCCGTGATAGGGGATACGTTCTGGAGATGGTCGTGAACAGCACATTTTGCTGATAATAATATTGGCCTCTCGAAAACCTATCATTGTAAAAGGAATGATTTTAAATAAATAAGTAAATAAGCTATTAAGTACATGAAAGTTATCATGATAACACAAAACATGGTTATAATGAAGATAAACTAAATATAAATTAATAGACTTGATTCGAAGCTTTCGTGACTGCAGGAATTACTCTTTGGTTTTTTCGGTAAAGTCACGTATAAATAAGAAATAATAAAGTAACATAATAGCGTACGACGTTTTGGTTGCAACACAAGCAGCCATCGTCAGGTACAGAAGAGCTAATTTTACGAGAGAGAGGAAACACATAGCCCCAGATGTATATACAGACACCCAAGTAGAGGGAACTAACACAGATGCAACAGGGGACACAGAGAGAGAATCACACCAAACAAACAGGGTTTAGCAAAATTTGGAAACCATATAAAGCAACACAGACGGTCGTAAAAACACAATTAACGCATAGTCTGGTTGATTACGCTATTTCAAAGATTGCTAAATTGCAAGTTAAGTATGATTTTTTTTTTTTATATACAGACCGCACACACACACACACACAGACATCCAAGCAGAGCGAACTAGCACAGAGTGAATTCGCTGATTCATTCGCAGGTGGAAAATCGCCCAGCCTGGATCCAAGCTCGGCTCACAGGGAACTCCGCATCTCCGGAGACCTCAAGACGGCGACGCTGGCGTCCAAGGAGACCAACGTCGTGCTGAAGCGCCTGCTGAGCCGCGACAACTCCGCCCGCTTCGACGAGTGGGAGCAGGTGCTCTGCTCCGACGCCTACTCCTCGGGCCGCCACTACTGGGAGGTGGACGTGGCCTCCGCGGGCCGCGCGTGCCGCGTCGGGGTCTCGTACGCGTCCATCGCGAGGAAGGGCGGCGGGCCCGCGTGCCGCCTCGGGATGAACGACGTCTCGTGGTGCCTGGAGAAGCACGGCGAGAGGGTCGCGGCGTGGCACGCCGGCGTCGCGGCGACTCCGGCGGCGGCGGCGGGGGCGGCGGGGAGGCCGCTGCGGAGGATCGGCGTGTACCTGGACTGGGACGCAGGGCTCGTCGCGTTCCACTGCGCCGAAACGATGGAGCCCCTCCACGCGTTCCGCTGCGCTTTTGCTCAGCCCCTGTTGCCCGCCTTCCGCATCGAGGGGCTGCTCGTCCAGGGGCGTTTCGTCGGCGGTGGGAATCTGTCGATTGTTGAATTCAAGAGAGATTCGAGGTAGAGAGTACAGAGGGGTTTTTTTGTGTGTGTGTTCGTGCCCACCCCCCACCGCCCCCCACACCCCCACCCCCCCCACCCCCCCACCCCCCCCACCCTCCCCCCCCCCTCTTTCTCTCTCTGCCTCCGTAACAATCCAACGCATCACTTGACTAAGGTACGCAGGGGCAGATATCGATAGGGGAAATGGGAATAGGGAACGGAGAAAATTGTCCCATCGTATTTTTCCATCCTTCCTTGTGTAGTAACACTTACGTGAGGGGTGGGGGGGGGGAGGTTCCCACGACAGGATGACGTCACGAGGGAAAGGGAAGAGAAGGCGGGGCGACAGAGGTAGGAGACGCCCCGGAAAGAGGGAGGTGGGGGCGGCGGGGGGGGGGGGGGCTGTGACGTCACCGTCAGAGGCGGTGCGATCGGCCCGCTTCTCGGCGTGAATCGGAGCGAGGGGGGCTTCTTTCGCGTGAGCGCTCGCTAGGCGAGTTAAAGAACCGTGGTGCTCCCCTGACTTCGACTGGTGGCCTCATTGCTCACGCAAGCGTCCGCCGGACGAACAAAAATGACCCCTTACGTTGAGCTGCACTGACCGCTTGCACTGCGACCGAAACGTCGTGTTTCCTTTGATGATTTTTTTCTACCTACTGCGTGGCTTTACCGAAAGGACCAGAAGAGTATGGATTCCTGCAGTCACGAAAGCTTCAAATCAAGATTGTGCCTATTTGTTTGTGTTTCTCCCTTGTGCTTGTGATGATGGGACTTTGTACGATGAACGTTGAGATTTATAAGGGGCACGGGGTGAACAAATTAGGTCTGAATTGGTCTGTAGCGAGGTAGGGCGCTAATAAGGGGTTGACAGGAATGGAAACGGCAAAACTCAATTTCAAAAGTCCTCTTCAGAAGGGCAATTTGCTGTCTCTGCAATAGCGATCGGTGACAACCCTCTACGTCACAATGGCGATCAAAGTCCACCCCTCTACGTCACAATAGCGATCGATGACAACCCTCTACGTCACAATAGCGATCAAAGACCACCCCTCTACGTCACAATAGCGATCGATGACAACCCTCTACGTCACAATAGCGATCAAAGACCACCCCTCTACGTCACAATAGCGATCGATGACAACCCTCTACGTCACAATAGTGATCGATGACAACCCTCTACGTCACAATAGCGATCAAAGACCACCCCTCTACGTCACAATAGCGATCGATGACAACCCTCTACGTCACAATAGCGATCAGAGACCACCCCCCCCCCTCTCTACGTCACAATAGCGATCAAAGACCACCCCTTTACGTCACAATAGCGATCAGAGACCCCCCCTCTACGTCACAATAGCGATCAGAGACCCCCTCCCTCTCTACGTTACAATAACGATCAGAGACTAGAGACTCCCCCTCTACGTCACAATAGCGATCAAAGACTCCCACTCTACGTCACAATAGCGATCAAAGACTCCCCCTCTACGTCACAATAGCGATAAAAGACTCCCCCTCTACGCCACAATAACGATCAGAGACTCCCCCTCTACGTCACAAAACCGCAGCTCAATACCTCGGTCCAGAAGTCAGCCCAAACTCTCATATCAAAGATCCCCTGCATAGCCTTCAAAGACTGTTGGGGCAAGTGCTGTTAGCGAGCACCTATGAAAGTCGGCATGGCACACAAGGAGGTGGGCGGCCAGCACCACGGCCAGCCGCCTTTGTCTCCCCAGTGGCGATGTTTACACAGCTGAGTCGACCTAGGGGAGGCCCAGGACGGGTTCAAATAATCGTCTACTGGAGTTGACCGTGAGCGGGAATCGAACTTGGGTCGTCGGGTTCATAGCGCAGCTAAGGGGCCGTCCATAAATGACGTCACGCGATTTTGGACGATTTTTGACCCCCGACCTCCTTTCCTCACGCGGCGTCAGAGCCCCCTTCAAATATGAAGTCACAAAGTTCTGACCCCCACCCCGCCAAAAAAAACATAAAACGTGCTTCAAATCGCTATAAACTATTGTCATTGTAGTGCGTATTTAATGTGGCGCTGCACTCTGATGTTGTAGGAGAAAACATTTATTAAAAAGTATTTAAGTAGAACGTGTTGTCTTTATCTATTTAAAGTTTCGCATTTTGATGTGACGTCACATTTCTCAACACCCCTCCCCCCCTCGTCACACATCGTCACAAATGTCTGACCCCCCCCCCCCCCAGGTGCGTGACGTCATTTATGGACGGCCCCTAACCGCTACACCACTGCTCCCCATACACATTATGTAACAAACATTGAACAAGACGCATTTTAATATATCTAACATCAAACATCTGCCTAAAACGTAGCCACGTGATCTTTTTTTTTTAAAGAGGTTCGTCTGTTACTCAATAGCTCCTGTGACAGTCCGTACACCTTTTTAAAACAATCTGGTGTCATGACAAGTCACGTTGTCGACTGTAATTCTCATCAGGCCCCACGGTGTGAGCAAATGGAGTCTCCGACTCGTTATCAACCACTCTGTCTCTCTACTGGCCCGTTTATTGAAGTGCTATGACGAAGGGCCATTGCCCGAAACGTCGACTATTTTACAACTACGTTTTTTTACACGCTTTTATGTAACGAACTCTGTCTGTCGTCGTTGTTGTTGTATCCTCAAATCTTGTAACTCAATGTTAACCCACTTCCCAATGTGGTATCGACTGCAAACTTGGTATAGTTATGTCATACTGATGACAATACTATATTCTATCATAAAAAAATAAAATAAACATACTTTAAAACATTACTATTTATATGTTATGTTTCGGCTTGGGTCTAATTGTCCACGGTAAACTGACATTGACTGTAAATCACCACGGGTCCCTTACGTTGTGGCAAGCTTCGGGGCCACTTCCTGGAGTCGTGGAGTTCTTCCATTAATCGTACGGTACATTAATGAAGCAATTGGCGGGACCCCGGGGTCCCATCACTGACCTGGGGTGGGAAAAACCGCGTAGCGACACGAGTCTTGTTGCCTTACCGACAACAGAACTAGCTTTCGATTTGAAGCTTTCGTGTCTGCAAGGATTCATCTTCTTTGGTTCTTTCGGTAAAGTCACGTTGAATGAGAACAAAATAATAAAATAACACGATAAAATTCTCACGACGTTTCGGCCACAACCAGCTTAAAAGTCGCTACGAATCTTAACATCGTTCATTGAAGCTCTGCCGTCCCGACAGTTCTGTACCTTTCACCTGAAGACGGCCGCTTGCGTTGTGGCCGAAACGTCGTGAGAATTTAATCGTGTTATTTTATTATTTTATTCACATTCTACGTGGTGACTTTGCTGAAAGAACCAAAAAGAAAACAGAACTAGCGGTCAATCGATTGGCCTCGTCGAGAGCTACTCGGTTGCACTAAGTTTCGTAAAAAGTTTAAAAATTACACAAACACGTTAAATTCCCCGCCTGGGTGGATTTGGCGGTGGGGCTCGCCTCGGCAAAGAAGCCGAGGATCGACGGCTGACCGGAGGGCGTCGTCGCCGCACGCGACCGCGGCGGACGCCCCCCCCGGGGGCTCGCGTTTGGCCGGTGGGGGTGGCGCCCATCGTGTCGATCGCCGCCTGCTGCTGCTGCTGCTGGCGCTTGTTGGCGCGAGTCTGGGCGGGCGGCGCGTTGCTGTCGGGATCACGTAGTGGGGTGGACTGAAGAAAAATAATAATTATTGACCTGAGTTTTGCGGGACCCCGGGGTTTAAAAAAAAAGTTTTTTTTCTTAAATAAATATATTCATAAGAAAGGTTTTTGGGTTAGATCGCGTTATTTATAAATGTGTCGTAACCCTCCACCACCCGACACGGCCGATCAGCAAAAATAGTGTCACGTTGACAAAAGACAAATAATTCACTACTTTAGCCCACCGGTGTGTTGAAGAGTGAATCCACAACATTTACAGTTTGAGTACGACGTTTCGCTGCTAAATACATCCAGCATCATCGGGCAATTCGCCAGAATGGTAAAGCCCTCGCTTGCTCCCGGTTTTATATAGAGCAGCAGGGTGACGTCATCACTTAACTCATATCAGGTGCAGTGATTAGAGGCGGAGGGGGGGTATTGTAATTATATAATCGATTAGTAATCAGTCAATGGTTATTATTAGTAATGAGTTGTAGATTAGTAATTAGTTGTCATGTGTGTTAGTGAGTATATGCTATGTTAGGTGATGGGCGAGGAGGAGGGCGAGGAGGGGCAGCGGGTGGAGGAAGAAGCGGATGACGCATGGGAGGAATCGGGGGGGGGGAGAAAACGGAAGCTGGATAGAGTCCTGAAAGAAGCTAGTCCCCAGCAAGATGCGAGCCTTTCAGGATACTCGCCGGATTCGGGGGAATCTGGGTGGAGGTGGGCGGAAGGGGGGGGGGGGGGGGACGTTTGAACCGGGGGAAGCCCCGGAGGTTGAAGGGGAGAAAAAAGGTGAAGGAGAAGGCGGACAAAGGCAGACGTGGGGAGCGCGCACCGGAGCCCGACACGGAATAACGCTCGCCTCGGCATGGACATATCTGTAGCATCTGTTAATGTGAGAGGAATGAAGGGGAAGGGAAGGAGAGGGGCAATCATGCAGTGGCTGCAGATCACCAGACGTGACGTAATTTTCCTCCAAGAATGTCACCTACCCTATAACCTAGGGTCGGAGGCTCTGCTGGACGAATGGAAGGGACACTACATTTGGTCTGGCAGCAACGGGAACAGATGTACAGGCGTGGTTACCCTCCTAGGAAGAAGTGGAATGAGAGTGGAAGAGACCCAGGAAATAATACCGGCTCGGCTCCTTTGTGTAGATGCATCTTACCAGGGTGTGGAGCTACGGCTGATAAATGTGTATGCCCCGGTACGATGTATGGACAGGACGGAGGTGTGGGAGAGCCTGGCGGGCCTACTGGCCACCAGGAGGCAGGTCATTGTGGGGGGCGATTTTAACTGCCCGTTGTGTCTGGCGGATTTGGTGTCGGTAAAGGGGAGGAGGAAGTTGGATTCCTCTTCCAGGAAACTGAGGGAGTTGATGGAGGACTTTGGGATGGTG